GATGATGCTGATGATGCTGTCGATGCTCATGCTGATGCTCACGCTGATGATGATACTGATGATGATTGTGATGATGGTGATGCTGATGTATATGATGATACTGCTGATGATGATGGTAATGTTGATCATGATGACAGTGATGATGATGATGATGATGATGATGATGATGACGATGACGATGATGATGCTGATGCTGATGATGATGATGATGATGATGATGATGCTGACGATGATGATGATGATGATGATGATGATGATGATGATGATGATAATGCTGATGATGCTGCCGATGTTCATGCTGATGCTCATGCTGGTGAAGGTGATGCTAATTATGACGATGGTTATGAAGGTACTGATGATGACACATATGGTGATGATGACACTGCTGATGATGACGACGATGACGATGACGATGACGATGACGATGAAGATGATGCTGATGATGCTGCTGCTGTTGCTGATGTTGATGATCATGCTGCTGCTGATGATGATGATGATGATGATGATGATTATGATGATGATTCTGATGGTGCTGATGCTGATGAATATGATGATTCTGAGGATGACAATGATGGTGGTGATGACGATGGTGATGGTGATGATGCTGCTGATGATGATTCTGATACTGCTGATGCAAATGATCATGCTGATCATGACGACGGTGATGATGCCAATGGTGATTATGAGGCTGCTGACCATGATGATGACGATGGTGATGATGATGATGATGACGATGATGATGATGATGATGATGATGATGATGATGATGATGATGATGAGGTTGATGAGGTTGATGCTGCTGATGATGATGATGATGATAAGAATGCTGATGATGATGCTGATGCTGCTGTTGATGCTGGTGATGATGCATATGTTGGCGGTGGTGATGATGATATTGATGACGATGATGATGCTGCTGCTGATGATGATGATGCTGATCATGATAATGGTGATGGTGATGGTGGTGGTGGTGGTGATGATGATGATGATGATGGTGCTGATGATGATGATGATGATGATGATGATGATGATGAGGATGAGGATGAGGATGAGGATGAGGATGAGGATGAGGATGAGGATGAGGATGAGGATGAGGATGAGGATGAGGATGAGGATGAGGATGGTGGTGATGATGATGACGATGATGACGAACATGCAAACAGTGATGGTGCTCCCAGAAGCCCAGGAATCAGATTTCCGAAGCAGGAGAAACCGCTGGCATTTCTTCTCCGCTCCTCCACTATTTTTGAGCGCCCCAGAGAGTCCCCGAACCTACGTCAGTGGTTTCGGGGCCTTTCCCAAGGAGCCCAAACATCAAATGCCTAGATACCCCTGGCCTCAGGGAGCCGTCCCGAGGAGCACAGAAAGCATAGCCAGTAGTCCAGGTCCCTTCCCAAGAAACCCAAAGTCAAATGCGGCCAGACCAATGTATAAGATGGAGGTCGGCTCGGGGAGGGTACCCTAATGTTCTTCGTGTTTGTTGGATGTTCTTGTGCATCCTCGGGCAGTGTACCCTCGAGTGATCTTATGGCTGGAGGTGTTTTGGCTGGCGGCGGGTCTCATGTTCTTGAAGGATGTTCTTCAGTCATGGGTCCGACCGTGTCAGTAGAAGCCAAGGCCTCTGGGACCTTTCTTCAGGAGTCCGGATTCAAGCGCCCGGAGGCCCCAGGCTTCTGGGACCCTTCAGAAGAGGCCAAACCACAATCCGCATGCAGTGCAACAAGTCCCAGAAAGAGTACCCAGAGGCAGGCATATCCTATTAGACTCCGCTGCAACTCCCAACCGGTCCCCATAACACTTCCCAAGCTCACGCTTTCCCTCGGAACTTGGCTGAGGGTGCCCCAAGGTCTCCAGAGCCACTGTAGCAAAGTGTCTGCAACAAGGAACCCGCGGGCACTTGAGGGACTTACTTCCACTCACCCGAGAGGTCACATTGAGCCGGCGCACGATTTTCTCTCGATAGTACATCATGGAGTTCCTGTTCGTCTTGGATTGAGCGTATATCGGCGAATCGCGCCGAATAGCGCGCAAGATCACCAAGCAGCGTCCAATAGCGCCTTGTAGCGCCGATTAGCGTTCACATAGCGCCCAGTAGCGACCGATAGCGCCCAGTAGCGCCATGTGAGTGAGATGCAGTATGTCAGCTTCGCGAAAGTGGGCACGCTATAGGGCGCCATGGGGACGATCGAAAGCTTCCGTGAGTTGCCTTCCAGCTCTCTGAAGATTTGTATCACGCAGACGCCTTCGGCTGTAAAGAACTTGCCAGGGCTACAGCCGCCAGCGGCGTTCAACGTGGGACGCCGCGGGCGACCCGGAATCGTTCGATGTGGAACGATTTGGACGTTTCGGAAACGACCCATCGTTCAAGTCTGAACGATCCCCGCGGTGTCAGAGACCAACGCCGAAGTCGGCACGACACGAGCCTGACGTAATTACGGACCCCTGAGTACAAGTACTGTGTGGAGAAAAACCGATTCAATGAATTCTGGACGCGTCGCGCATCCCCACCAGCAGCGGGCGTCGCTCGTTGTTTTTCCTTTCGCAGGAGGCACAGCCTGCCCCTGCCTGCCCGGCGTCCGACCCGCTTCGCGCGCCTGCGTACCAAAAGGTATTCCCACCAGCCCATCCAGAACGGTGTCCAGGCGAGTTGAGGTGATCAGGGAAGTGCGGGAGCGAAGAGGGGGACGACCGGCGGCCGAACCGTGCGAAGGAGGGAGGAGGGGGAGGCTGGATGGATGGATGAGGGAGTGGGGAGAAAGAGAATTACCAGAAGGAGGAGGGGGGGAGGAGGAGGGGGAGGAGGAGGAGGAGGAGGAGGAGGAGGAGGAGGAGGAGGAGCAGGAGCAGGAGAAGAAGGAGGAGGAAGAGAAGGAGCAGGAGGAGGAAGGAGGAGGAGGAGGAGGAGGAGGAGGAGGAGGAGGAGGAGGGCAAGCAAAAAGGCCAGAGTTCTCTTGGATGCCTCTCGGAGCCTCTTGGGATATCTCTTGGGCGCTTCTTGGTGGCCTCTTGGGTCGTCTTGGGGGTCTCTCGGCGGTCCTGGGGGGGCTCTTGGGCGTCTTGGGTGCCTCGGGGGGGCCTCTTGGGGCCGTGTGGGGTCCTCTTGGGGGCCTCCTGGGGGCCTCCTGGGGCTATCTTGGAGCCATCTTGGGGCCATCTTGGGGCCTCTTGGGGCGCCTCTTGGGGCCATCTTGGAGGACATCGATCAAAGAAGGGGGGTCCTTAATTAGCCTCTCCCCTCGGGAGCCCCCCAAATCACCTCTTGGGTCCCTCTTGGAGCGCCCTTGGAGCGCTCTTGAGCGCTCTTGGGGCCGTCTTGGGGCTCTCTGGGGCTTCTCTTGGGGCCCTCATGGGCCCTCCTGGAGCTGTCTGGAGGCCTCGGAAGGCCATCGGAAGCGAAAATGCGAGAAGGCACCATTCATTGATGTTCCCTAGGTTTTTTTTTGTTTTTTATAGAAAAAAAAGGATTTTGCCTTCTTGGCGGCCTCCTGGGGAGGCTCCGTGGCCGCTTGCAGCCCTCTTGAAGCGGTATTGGGGCCTCTTGGAGCATCTTGGAAGCCATCTTGACGCCTTTGGGGATATCTTGGGCAATCTTGGAGGTCATGTTGGGCTTTCGGAGGCCCTCTTGGAGCCGTGTTGGGCCATCTTGGACGCTCCAACTACCCGCGACCACCCCCTTCCAGGTCCAGGGGGAGGGGGTCTGGGGGAGGGGTAAACCCCTCCCCAAAGGGGAAGAGGGAGTGGTGGAAGAGGAAAGGCCCTAAACCACCTACGCACAGAGAGCTGGTGGGATTAGTTCCACATCATTCTAACACCAATTCAACACTAGTAACTCCATACCGAGTTACTTTCGAGACCACTTGGGTGATCACATAGGGGACCCTGATGATATCTTTCTTTTCTCCAGCTGTTCATTGAGATTATTGGAAGCTTTGTGCCGCGTCGTTCAGCAAATGAGTGCTTCATCACTGCAGTAGCAAGCCTTTGAAGCCAGTGCAAAGAGCAAGGGGCAGTAGCCCAGGCTATTCCAGGATACTCTAGGCCACTGAAAGCGCCGGAGGCCGAAGTGGTGCAAAATGCAAAGGTGCAGTAGCTCACACTACTCAAGGCGAGCAGCGGCGCTGGAGGCCGAGGGGCCAGAACAAGGGGCAGCAGAGTGGGCGCAGCGTGAGCACGAGCCCCAGACACCCTGAACCCCCTGCCATGCGAGGCCCTGGACCTATGAGACCCTCGTGCCCGTGGGAACAAGAACAGGCCCCAGAATTCCCGGAACCGATAAATCCCCAGAGCCCGCGGGGTCACCAGACCCCGACACTTTGAACCCTTGTGGGCGCCGAGAGGCCCTGAGCCCATAGACCCTGGAGCCCGTGGGGCCACTCTGAAGCCTCAGGCCCTGAGAGGCCCTGAGTCCATGGGGCCAGGGAGCCCGCGGGGAGCGAACCCCGGATGCCCTGAACCCCTGCTTCAACAGCGCGGCGCGGCATGGGTTCCTACATCTAGTTGCACTGGTGCACTGGTGCAAGAATGCTCGCAGGAAGATCCTCAGACCTTGTGAGGTGTCCAGGCGCGTGCGTGCGTGTACCTGGCATACTTGTTGAAGTGCGAGGTGTATACATATATCGGCGCATTAACTATATAAGTGCACCCTAACATCATTATTCATCTGCGTCGGCGTTGTCCCATGACGTTGTCATACATGTTCGCACTTAACTTTTCGTGGCGTTGTATCGATCATGATACTCTAGCGCGATTCCGCGGATATATTCATATATAATATTGTTATACAACAAAGCGCTCAATCTTCCTTTTCACCTTAAGCGGCTTACTCTTATCGTTGAAGCCTTTGTGAGCATAGCCAAGTCTTGGTTGAATGTTTGGTACATGCAAATCCGCAGAAGTACCGAACCCGGCCTTGTACCTTCAGCTAGTCCTTCAATATTCGCCAGGAGCCCTTCAGAGCAAGCTCTGATTGGGGAACATACAGCAAGATGCTGTTTTGCCGCAGTTCCATAGCCATTCTGGCTCAAGCGAGCGGGCCGCAGGGCTCCGCCCCCGCGCCGCAATATGGCCGCGGCGCGGGGTTGCGCGTCAGGCCCGCGCCGTCGGCGACCAGGGGCGCACTGCGCGCCCAGGTTCGCGGCGCTGGCGCTGGCCGCCGCCTGGGGCTGCGCTTGCTTGGCACGGCGGGGCTCATCGGGCTTCGTCGCTGGCGCTGCGGCGCCGCGAACGCCCAGGCCAGCGACTCGCCCGCGGACCTTCCGCCGCTTTTACGGCGACCCGAAGTACGACCAGGAGTGGAAGAACGACCCCACCGACCCTCGGTGGGACAAGGAAAAGCGCGAGTTCGAGTGGTTCTTCACGACGGGGCAGTTCAAGGATAGGGACCTCAAGCTCACGGACTTGCCGAGGCCTGGCGGCGAGGCTCTCAAGGACTTCTGGAACACGATGTACGAGAAGGGCGTTCTGTTTGCCCTGCTCCAGTCCGTGTTCACAATCGTGGCCTTCGCCGCGATCTTCGAGTACTTGCCAATCCTCATCAATGGCTTCCTGAGAGCCGTGTTCAAGATCCCGATTCCAGACGCAGCCGCGTGACGTTCGCCTGCGCCGCCCCGGGATTCGGCGGCCCGGCCCCTGCGCGGGGATGGGCCTCCGCCGCCGCCACCTGGATGGCCACGCTGCCGTGCCGCTCAGTGATGGGCAGTTTCGTTTCTTCCCGCGCGTAGCATGTTCCTCGAGCGAGACGGCTGGGCGCTGTGGGTTCCCGACCTCCTCCTGCACACCCTTATTGCCCCATCGCTACTGTCATGATCGTCTCGGTGTGTTCTGCAGGCCTTCTTGTTGTACCGTTCACATTCGCGCCCTTTCGAGCCAGACCTGTGAATCTCGCTGGCGTCGGCGCAAAAACACATATTTTTTGTTTTGCCGCAGTTCTTTGCGTTTGTGGACCGTCTCTGGGCCATGGGACCATCAGAAAATGGTGCGCGTGGAAAATACGGACAGACCGTCCCTGGGGAGCGGTCGAGTGCTCCAGGTGCACGTGCCAATGAAGCATTAACGACATCCGAGGTCTCGGTGGGTCACTCCCAGGGGCCCGGAGGAAGTTGGCCTCGCTTTGTGCTTCGCAGCCCACGCGAGGGGATGCGTCTCTCCCGAGGTGGCCGGCGCGAGGGCGGGAAGCGCCACGCCAAGCGCTCCAGCACAGCCGCCACCGAGAGCGACTCTGCAGCCATCCTGGCCCAGGGCGCGGGGCGCGCACCGCCGCCCCTGCAGCGGCCGGGCGGCCCCGTCCGCGCCGCCCGGCTGCCGGGCCATCCGCAAACTGAAGATCCGCACCTCCGCCTGCCATGCTGGCAGGGTAGGCCCAGCCGGCCGGGGCAACGTCAGGGGGGGGGACCCAGTAAAACAGGGCTAGGATCGGGATAAATCGATCCAGAGCGTTCCGGAGCGCACTCAGAGCGTTCCGGAACGCTCTGGAGCGGCCGCGGCGCCCAATACATCCTCCAAACCCGCCGATTCTCAGATTTCGAGTCATCCCGATCCGATTTTGTCCCGATCTTCGCGTCGTTTTAACCCAGGCTCCGGAGGCGGGATGCTGCGACCTCCAGCCGCCCAGCGGTCGCCGACGGGAGCCTCCTGGCCCGCCCGGCCCGGGAGCGTGCGGCTTCGGCATCCGGGGCCCCTCGCCGAGCCACCGGCGATGCATCGCCGGTGCCAGCTCGATGCCCCCCCTTCGGCCGGCCCCCTTTCTCACGTGGCCCCATCGAGCTCGGGCCGGACGAAAGGGGGGGCTATAGGGAAAGGGGGGGTGGCGAAATCTGCTGCATGCAGCTGGTTTCGGCCTCGCCGCCGGGCCCATCCCTCGATACGCATAGCCGCCTCCGGCGCTGGGAGGCGCCGGGAAAATCAGCTACGTGAGCTGACTCTCAAAACCCCTTCCTCACGTGGCCCCATCGAGCGGGTGGGCCCCCGCATGCGGCGCCTGCTGGCGCTCGCCGCGCTGGCAGCCACCCGCCGCCCCGGCGGCGCGCTGCGGGCGGAGGGGGCCGCTCTGCAGGGCGCGGGCGCGGCGCGGCTCGGCCGGCCGATCGTCACGGGCTGCCTGCTGGAGTGCGGGGTGCAGGACCTCGAAGTCAGTGCAGTCGTATTCATACAGTAGCCATGTATTGAGAATCCGATATGTTTTAGAAATCCTATGTATTAGAAGCTGCCCTGTATCGTGTATCCGACCCCCATGCCCATCCCCATCCCCTTCGAGGCCCCCACCAGATGACCACCCCAGTTGGGGATGCACCCCTCGAAGCCCGAAGGGCACGACCCATATCCCTCCTCTAGGGGGGGAAATCGGCCAGTGGGGCCCAGGCCACGCCGCTGGGGATGGGGGTCGGTTAAGCGATACTCAGAAGAGCAGCCGGTGCACCGTCTGAGTACGGTCGGACCGAGCCATGAGATCGAGGTGGGTCCGGGGAGGGGTGTGTTCGTTGGGTGTTCCTGCGCATCGTGGAGGAGGGTGCCCTCGACTGTTCTCCCGTGTGGCCGGCGGAGGGTCTCATGTTCCTGGAGTCGGGAGCCTTGAGACGGGGGTCAATGCAAACGGGGGTCAGCCAGGGCGCCAGATCCTGCAGGATCCTGCGAAGACCCCCTCTGGCTGACCCGGGTTAGCGAGCCGCTCGAGGCCGCGAGGCGGCCGCGCATATTGGCTGACCCGGGTTTGCGAAGATCTGCGTTGCAGTTTTTTTTTCCTGCATTGCAGTTTTTGGTTTCCTGTTGACCCGGGTCTGGATTGACTCGGGTCAGAAGATCCCCGACCTGGAGGTTGTTCTTCTTTTTTGGGTCCGGCCGTATACGATCTATTTGTTCCATCCTTTGGTGATGCCGAGCATTTTTTGGGGGTGCGGAGGGCAAAGGGTGAAATCTGAAATGCAGTTTCGATGGTTTTTCGAGGCTTGCGTCTGCAAAAGGTGAATTGCACGACGGATGGATTTTCGAGGTGCAGAAGCCCCTATGGATTTCACCGTAAGCCCTCCACCCTAAGAAAATGCTCAGTGATAAGGGACCTGGCCGTGGAAGGCGGGGAGGGGGCCGGTCACGTCACAGTGCGCGCAGGCGCCGTCTTGGAATGCCTAGGACTGGCTCATTCCCGGACGGCGCCGGCACGAATCGTGACGTGCCCAGGGGGGATGTCAAGCAGTGGCGAGGCGTCTTGGCGTGCTTACAGGCCTATCAAAGAATGTTCTAAGAACCTGTAAATTGTGGTCTGCACGAAATGTTCTTAGAACATTTCGGGCCCGGACTGTCTTGTTTTAGCACATCGGGTTTATGTTCCAAGAGCATTGTTGTTGTTCTTCGAACATTTTGGGGTTCTAAGAACATGTCGTGTTAGGCCTATAGAATTGCCGGGACGGTCGGTCCCTGCTCAAAGACGGCGCCGGCACGAATCGTGATGTGCCCAGGGGGGTGGAGGGGGGTGGGTGTGGCGGGCCAGGCACGGGCGTTATCGCGAGTAATGACAAATAGACTCTATGTCCACGTCCGCCGTTGCGTAGTCCCCCGAGGAGTGGTGAACGCGGATATCCTCCCGCCTTCTGAGGCGGGCAGATATCCACGGCCCCAACGCAGTGGATGATATGGATATATCTTGGCGGTATCCGGCGCCGACCCCAGATATCCGCGCGGACTTCTGGCAGTTTGTGCTTGTGCCGCTTTTGGGTGTTCTCCCAGGACCAGAGCTGCGTCACGCAGTGCCAGGTCTGCGTGGAGGAGCAGAAGTGCAGGACCCTCAGGAGCGACCGCTGCGGCGTGTGCCTGCGGGAGGTGCGCGATTCCACGCGCGCTAGGGCGACCGCCAACGGAGTGACCATCGACTCGGGCGGTGTGCCGTTGGCGCACGAGGGTGTGCAGGTCCGGCTGGAGGCCGCGCGGTTCCGCTCCGTGGACGAGATACGCCTCACCAGGAGAGCCCGCGATGCGGTCCTCGTTGCGCAGCGGCAGGTCGAGTGGGCCGCCGAGGAGTGGACCGACCAGTCCCACGAGCTCCACAGGGCCAAGGCGAGGCTGAAGCTCGCGCAGGAGCAGTACGCGATATCCACGGTAGAGCACGCCAAGAAGGTGAAGAAGCTCGAGAGCCAGATCGCCAGGACCGAAGAGACAACGGCATACACATTTTGGCAGAGGCCCACGCGGATGTCTTGGACCTGCGCTGAACTCCACCCCTGGCGCGCGGAGGCGCGGCCAGGGGGCCTCCAGCGCAGATCCGAGAAGTCAGCGCGAAGCTTCGAAAGTCTGTGTGTCTATACGGTGGGGGCGTTGGTTAAGGAACGTGCCCAGGAGGCGCCAGACCCTGAAGGATTCCTGATCTAATGAGGGCGGCGATGATATCCATGGCCGAGCCTCGATTGGAGTACCACCAGCTTCCAGACTCTGGATTCCTTATCTAAGGGTTCCAGGGGTGGACCTGAACGGTGTTTTGGCGACATCGTGGGCCGTTTTCGTTTCGATATCGTTTTGCAGCAAGGGCGAACTCAAGGTAGAACGAAACGCGGGAAAACGAAAACAAAGCCACAACGACAAGCACTGTTTGGGTCCAGCCATGAGGAGGACCACTTGGGCCTCGGGAAGGGGCTCTGGCCCTCGAGCTCTCCCTGAGGTCCTAGGTGGGGGGGCCTCTTCGTGGCCAGGGCTAGCCGTGTCCAGGAGAGCCTCTCCGTTCGTTCCCTGTTCGGCGCTCCTCCTCCCTCCCTCCCTCCCTCCCCTCCCTCCCTCCCTCCCTCCCTCCTCCCCCTCTTCCTCCTCCTCCGCCTCCTCCTCCTCCTCCTCCGCCTCCTCCGCCTCCTCCTCCTCCTCCTCCTCCTCCTCCTCCTCCGCCTCCTCCTCGCAGCACACGGTGGCTGCACACCCATCGGAAATCGTGAGAAGGAGCACGAGTTCTCAGGGGCTCCGGATGTCGCTTCCGAGAGTCAAGAATCTGGACATGGGCCCTGCGCGATCTCTCGGAGCTCCTCTCGTCCGTGGAGCTTTTTGAAGATCTAGACCCGTGCTCTCGTGCAGCTCAGCGAGCGCTTCGAGTGAAAGGCGCATCTTCCTTGGCCGAAGACGCGTTTTTCTCGCGGCTCCGAGCGGGCTGCCAGCCTCTGCTCCTCGCAGGACGCGGCTCGAGCGGGCGCGGCTCCAGGAGGAGCTGCGCGGGGCCGAGCGCGAGGCGCGGGGGGCGCGGGAGGCGGGCGCCGGGCAGGGCGCAGCTCGCGCGCGGGCGGGCGGCGGCCGGACCAGCCCGGAGGGCGCGGCCCGCGGCGAAGCGGTGGTCGCTGGGGGGGGTTGCCGGAGATGTGCCCCCTGGCAGGGCCCGAGCCGATTCCTCCGCTCCGGCTCGATGCGACTCGGCTTCGGCCTCCGATGCCGAGTCGACTCGGCGTCGGACCCCGACGTGGGGCTCCGAGGTCTCCATGGAGGCCTGCAGGCCTGCCGAGGTCTGCCGATTCGTTGTTTCCCGACTCGAGGAGGAGGAGGAGGAGGAGGAGGAGGAGGAGGAGGAGGAGGGGGAGGAGGAGGAGGAGGAGGAGGAGGAGGAGGAGGACTTTCGATCGCCGATCCGACTTATTCGATCCCGGGATCCCCTGCCCTGGCCCAAGGTGCCCCCGTCGGCTACGCCGCATTCGGTAGCAGATCATGCTGGGAGCGAGGGGTGCCTTTTCGATTAGGGGGCCACATGCGAACCCTACCCCCTGCCCCCCACGATGGGAGGTTGGGGTTCACTTCGTTCGGGAGCTCCCGAGCGAAGTGAACCCCACCCTCCCCCTCAGAAATCGTGGGGGGCAGGGGGTAGGGTTCGCATGTGGCCTTCCATTTTCGATTCCGCCTTTGGTGCCGATGAGTGTCGAGCAGCGTCCGGGAGTCGGTGGGACAGCAGCGGTCCAGCGTCGGCTGGCGTCGATTCGCAAGAAGCGACGAGATGGTATGGGAGGCTCCCACGAGTTGCCACCGCAGTGGACGGGGGACCCTTCGCTGGAGTGGCCTCTGGTGCGGGCTCGCGTGGGTCTTCCCAGCACTGGCCTGCGTGCCTGGATCTGGCCTGCCCGCGGCCCCCTGAGGCCGCGCACCCGAGGCCACTCCTGCCAAGGGGCACTCCTTGCGCGTGGTCGACCCCAGCGTTTCGCTCGATCTTGGAGCCCCTGGCTGAGGCTCGCTGGGCCAGGGGGCGTCCTGGAGGCCGCGGGGGCCTCTTTGGAAGCCCCGGGGGGCACCTCGGGCCAGGGGGCACTCCTGTGATGGGCCTGTTTTCCACCACCACCACCAGGAGTTGGAGGGGGGAAGGAGGTGGAGGAGGAGGAGGAGGAGGAGGAGGAGGAGGAGGAGGAGGAGGAGGAGGACCCCCTCCCCCTTCCCCTCCTACTTATGGTGGTGGTGGTGGTGGTGGTGGTGGAAAACAGGCCCATCATCCTGGCAACACCAGATGGTCGGCGGCGCGCGCAAGGGGTTGACGCGAGGGGGGTGGCCTTCTGAGAATCAG